TCGTCAGGCCAAGTGAGTAAGTAAGTAAGTTGATTGCGTAGCGGTGGGCTACGCACAACTACGCACTGATGATGTCACCTCGATTGATGATGAAACGCTTGCAACCTAATTGCCCAGCTCAGCGAACAAGCCAACGACCATTTACCCTACCTGAGCTACCGACATTCTCCTCTATAATGTAATATAAAAAGAGGATGGTGGTTAAAATAGGGAAGTAAAACTGCTGAAAATGGAGGTCACCGCGATAGCTACTCAGATCAAATGACAAAGCACCAAAAACCAACACGAAAGCGGACCAATGAACTCACGAGAAAATTTTCCCTCAATAAGTTAGTCAAGTCAAGAGATAGCAGACAGTTTCGTAAGCTATGTGAACTCTCACAGGTGGGAAGGAAGCACTCACTGTACCAAGTATCAGTAGTATCTCCTGGGTTTTTTTAAAGAGACGCCAGGGAGGAGATTGTCTAACTTATGGAATACATCAATCTTCACCTGATCGACAACCAACGAAATCAACTGAGCTACGTATAATTTGGAACTACCATTCAGTGTGCCTTATTGATGAACAATTTACTTTCATTCTGGCTTGCATTTTTATCGATCCGCCGCCAGTATGGTGACCAGCCTAGTTCAGGGTAGTTGTGATTCTCACGCTCAGCTTGACGTTTCCCCAGCCTATATGGGTCAACTTCAACAAGACTTGCGATTCAGTTACTGTTTGTACATACAGCCTACTGAAAAGCGAACTCCACTACGGAAATAAATTTGTTGGTTCGGCGAAACAGACACATATGCAAACAACTTTGGTTTTGCGACAGACTCACTTGGGACTCAGCTAAATCTCTTGTTTATGATGTCGAATTTTCTTGGAGAAAAACACACAGTCCTCAAATCGTAATTCATAATGAAGCGGATCACACTGTTTGACGGAGCGGGAGGAATTTGCGATTTCCCATCATAAAAGATAATGATTCATGGAAGGGACACGTTGGTGGCTGTTAGTTTTTTCCTTAGGGTATAATTACTCAGCTGCTGTGATCCAAAATCAATGAAACACAAAGGTTTTTCGCTAAATAATTTGGTTTAAAAAGGAAGCTCGTCCGAATCCATCTAAATCTACCAATTTGAACTGAATTGTATGCTCAAATACCTCCTCATGCTTCGTTTGTTACGATATTCTATATTGTGAACTATTCGCTAGAAAAACCAAACTGTGCATTGAATGGAAAAATTTGAAAGGATAGGTCCCGAAATTGTTTACAGTTGTATTAGTTGCTTTGATTGCACGAATACGAGCAGTTCAAATCAGTAGAACCTCATGTCTATTGGGCTGATTCACAACGGACTGGCCGGGGACCAGAATGAGACAGGTCCTGATCGCTCAGAATATGAGCCAATCAAGATAGAGTATTTTTCAGTTCACCGCTTTTCAGTTCTTGTGAAAATTTCTTTGATCGTTGTAAAAATACATTTATAGCGATTTCCCTTTGTTTCCATAAAATACAGTCTATAACTATGGTGCCGATATGAAACAGCATGGGAATTCCGAACCACAATACACTTTTAGAAGCAATGTTTTGACGCCCCTAAAATGACTATCTGGCCTTAATTATTTCCACAACCGTGTAATCCTGACGGAGCATAACCACAAGGGCAGTGAAGTCCATACACTTTGCAAAGGAGCCGGCGGCATCATTCTTCCTCACCACTGACTCTATGACCCAGTTTGAGAGTTCTGCTACTAGAGAAGAATGTTTTGAGCGTTTAACCATAAATTTACTATTGTAACGTTATACTGTTCACAGATAACGACTATCGCACCGCTATGTAATGTATACAGCATGGACAAGACCGTGTTGTGAACGCAATCGAGTGACACCAGCTACTAAGCGCAAAGTCAGTACTGCGATTTTTCGCAGTTATCAGATCGATCATCTTCTCTTGCTTTCCACAACAAGGCAAACCAAACTGGGGAGTAGAACACAAAACACGTCCACAATCCTACGTAGACATTTATGGAGGAAGTGTAGGAACTTAGGAACGTAGGAACGTGCTGCCACCCAGTACTAATCACAGACCGGCATTAGACCATCCGCAGGCGTGGGCCCTAGCGAGACAGCATGGCAGACGAATGGTGAAGTTAATGGTAACAGATGCCCAAAATTGTCTCAGGAAATACGAAACAGCACTCACTGAGAGTAAAACAAATTTTTTTGGCCAAAACCAGTCCACAGCACTTGACAGAACTCGAAATAGCAATTGGACGCCGAGTAGACAATGTCAAGATCAAGCGTAGAACAGCCATGGAGACAACTTTGCGCAAGCTCACGAGGAACAACGAACACAACAATTACGACACTTGGATCATGAACTCATCTGGCCGCCAACTCTACACGTCCACAATTTTTATCTCACGATGCATATTATTTCACCGGGCAACTTAGAACTTACCCGAACGTACCCTTGACACATGCTTCGTTATTCGGGTCTGGTGAACGAAAAATCATCTAAATTTTGAAGATGAACCTCGTCGATTACAAGCAATACCTAAACACTTGGTTTGGCTTCATTTAACCTTGATCGGTTCACATCATACATCGGTTTATTACTTTCACACAACTGGTGAGATAACAAGATCTCTAATAGGATATCCCCACATTCCCCCAATAATTTAGATGCGTCACAGTTGCCATGACATTAATATGACAGGTAAAACCCTATCAAATTTTATGGATATTTGATAAATGATATTTTCTTTATCCTTCCTGTCAGCTTGAGACGAACTCCCACATGATTCTTACCGCAACTCAAGGGAAGCTAACGAAAATTAATTGTGAAAAAGCTAGGAACCAATCAAGATGATATTTTTACAGAAAAGTCTTGAAAACAATTGCAAACCAAGCTACTTACAGGGTTGCTCAAAACGCCTTGAAATTTCACAATCGTTTCCCACCCCTTCTTTTGGAAAGCTTATCAAGCACACACAGTCCTCGGGTTCTTGTCAATCGTATGTTCTATTTGGAGCAAATTTCCACGAAAGTTGCAAAATACACTCATTTGCAAACTAAACTGGTGTTAACGGAAGACTCAACTGAATCTAGCTTAACACCATAAGAAGAGAGATAAGGCTGGCATAATTTTGGTCCCGTTAAAACCAAATTACTGTGCAGTTCAAAAATCTGTGGTTTGGAACAAATCATTAGGAAAATCTGGAACAAAATGACACAGCCACTCTTGACATTCATGGGGAACCCTGGCAAAAGTAAACAGCACTGCGCCTATTCCGTTTGGCAAGCACACAAAAGATATTTAAACACGTTTAAAAACCATGAACTAATTATATGTCCGATGTGGAAAAAAATCGCAAAACCTACTTTGTTTTGTTGAAGCGTCCCAGGCCCACATAAAACCATATCTCGCTCGTTTTCCATAAAACAGACCAGTACATCTTGTTGTGATGAATCAAGTATCACTTAATGGGCAAGTGCTACCCCACTCACCACGCAGAACACAATTACATCCGTTTCTGCCAGTTATCTGGCAGTGAGAGATGTCACTCTTCACGTGCACTTCAAAAGACCCGATGGGAAAAGCGAATGGTGTAGTTGTCCAGAAATGTATTCATCCCAAAGCGAAATAATTAAACGAAAACGAAGGCTTTGGCGTTTGGTCATAACACTAAAAAGAGGCAATTACAGCCTTCCTTTTACTATCATTCCGTCAAGTTTACCTCGTGAGTGAACGTCAGTTGTTTTTCCTCTGACTTCCGGGATTGAAGCATTTCAGAGGGAATTCAGATCCTGCTTTCGAACACGAATGAATAGAATTCATGCTAGGTTGATCCCTTCTCTTACTGAAAACAGAAAGCACACATTTTAGCCCATTAGGTGTACATTACACGTGTACAAAAGAGAGTTTTAGACTCCGGCAAAACGTAACTCTCAGAGTCCGCAAAATGGTAGAAAATGTTAAACACATAACTTCATCATTAGACCGGTTAATTTATCGAATACTTGTCAAAATTTGCGTTGAGGCAAGTAAAAACGCAGGAGGAAAAATATCGCTACCGCATTTAGGCGTCAAACTCTTATTTCAAATGTAAATAGCAAATTTGGAATATGTAAACTTGAACTCTGAACAAGCCGTTCGTTTTTGACACGAGTGCTAATCGAAGTGTGCTTTAGGCTGGTGCCCAAGTTATCGAAGTATTTTCAACAAGTGAGCCCGGAGCAGAGGCAGCATAGGAATTTTTATTGGTACGATCGTTTCAACCCATAAGTGACTCCATGCTAGGGGGTTAGTTTGGGCGCTCTGATTGCGATTTCCTCGGGGTTACACGCGGAGAGAAACGAAAAGTGTCTCCGAACAAGTTCTCCTCACCGATTTTCCAGTAACGTTACATGTTTGTCGTTGACGCTTCACTCACAGCCACGCGTACACTACGAGAAACATTTAGTTCTCCACGTGAAACCAACCGATGGTTGGTCGTGGAAGAGTAATCCACCACACCGTTTGTCTTGATAAGGAATTCCCTTATACGCACAGTGCATATGATTTCAAGTGGGTTTTGCTTGGTCAAAGGCTGTCACCGATATGAGTCAGGAATTTGACTAATCAGAATTTCCTCTGGAATTTTACACTCCACAAAGATTCTCAAGGTCCTCTCGATTCTCAGTATCAACATGTGGGCCTTAAGTGCTTGCAAGTAGAAAGTAGAAGTACAAAGTAGAAGTTGTCGCTTCTGTGACGCTATCCAATATGCATTGTTTCCTGAATACAGGTCATCAGGCGAAAGTGGCAAGATTCATTCTCTGAGTTCAGGTTCAATTTCTACACGCAATGCCAACATCGAGCGGTCGCCGACCTCAGTTCAGGGTGGTAGTAAAGTGAGGATGAATGATGGTGGTTAAACTCTAGTGAAACTAGTTTTGCATTTCGATCACCACGTACTGAGCAGAGTCCAGTCCACCTGAATTCAAAACAACCTTCTCCTCTTTCAGCGAGGAACGTTGCGCGATTTTACAATGATGGTAAGTTGATATCGATTAACCAGGTTAATCGCATCACGATTGGAGTTGAACTGGTTAGACCAATGTCTTGAAGATACGCAGTATCAACTCAACACCAACTTCAATGACCTATGCAACATCAGCTCAGAAAACTTGTCATTTTTCTTATAAATCATATTAGTGAGGACATGCGTCAATCAGTAAACGGTGTAATTTATCCACATCATGAGGGCATTCGATATTACGTGATCGTAGAAGCCTTCAGAAAGTCGCTGGTCCCCTACATGTGTCACTATATCAAATGGCAATTGATCACTGACTCCCTTTCGGTCATCTGGCCTGGAAGTGCCACGTACGCCAGAGTGCAAACACACAGGCAGATACTGCTCGCTTAAACTATTTTGGCTAGACTAGCCCGGCTGTTCTGCTTTAGCCAGTTGTGTTGTTCCATGATCTGATTTACACCCTTTTAGCCTTGACGAATAAGTGACGCAATCTGATCAGTCATGCATCTCACATTGTAGGTGGACATCGGATTCCAAATTCAATTCAACCATAAGCCAAAATCCTCACCCAGTCATAGTTGTAGTGGTGACTCTTGCTCAACGGCGCACAAAAAGCTGCTGCGAGTGTTTCCCTTGAAAGGTCAGCTACACGGTTTTCTTTGACAGACCAGCATCCCTAGAAGCAACACGATACATTCGTGTCCTTCTAGTGAAGGTATTCATACTGAAACTCGGAAGCTTTTACCCACAATCCAGCAAGAGGATAAACTCAATGAGTGTGGCTACTTCAAATACATATGCCACAAAGGGACCTGATTCGGAAGATTGGTAATATGGAGAGATTTCGTTCTGTAAGTGGAATCAGTCTATGCTAAATAGCCTATATTTAGCTGTTTATTCTTGTTGGTAATCAGAAGTGCGCATCTTACGAAGCCCCGTGGAGATTCAAACCCATGACCTTTAGGGCTAGAAGACTAGAACGCTAAACCGTTCGTTAACACAGAAGTCAGTCAACAAACCACTAAGTGATGTGAATTCAGTAACTAATGAATGAGGGGTGCTATGTACTATTTAGGTCCGAATCAATCAAATTGCTGAACAGCTGCTCATGGTCCAACGTTCAGTCCTCAATTACAGGCGACCAGGTTGTGAGTTCGAATCGTCCTAGAAACTCATGAGGTGCGCATCACTAAAGATTCACAGCAGGGATAGAACATCTGTACACTGCTTCCTGGCTGTTTAGCGTAGAGCGACCTACTTTATTTGAAGGATAAAATCCTGAAGAAAATTCCCTGTCAACAAATTCCATTGTAGTTTTTATTGTGAATCTCTGACCGGTTCACCGGATGTAAATCGGTAACAAAATTTCAATGAAATGACATGTTTATGGATACGTCATCGGAATAAAAGTTCACATATCCGTGTCCATCCCCAGAGATCGCCGGAAGCAATAAATCGTTCAATACCTGGAGTATAATTTTACTGTCTATCGCGGGTTTAGCATCACCAGCAAAGTAGTTCCATAACAAAAAAACTATGCCAAACACAACAAAAACAGTCTAACTTCTCATCTTATCCACCAGAACAGTTCAAATAATGAAATTTCTCTTGCTGACGATTGCATCATTCAGGCAAAAGACCCATGCGAAATCATCCTAGGTCTCCTAGGTCTTTTTGATCCCGCGTTTCCTAACTTACAATTCATTCAGTGACTTTTCATACTCAGTGGATAATTAGGATGAGCTGTATTCCGTATGAGTAGCATTCAACTGACGACGGTTCCGATTTGAGTCAGCATGCAAAAGTGTTATTTTACCTTAACATAACTCTTTTATTCAATTCTTAAGACCTCAACAGGTTTCTGAGGTTTGCGGCTTTGAAAAACTATGTTGGTATCCGTTTTTTTCCGACCATCTTTCGGACACATGTTCCCTAGTTAATTCTGTGTCGGTATTCTACCCTGCTTAAACTAAGACAGAGTTGATTGAGGTGAAATGACTCACTCTGGCCAAAAGGATGGTTTATAGTCGAGTCTCTGTTGCGTGGGTAGGAGATCATAGTCACTTACCGATCACGTTATTCTTGGATTTGATCAGTTACGTATAGCTAAGCATCACAATTTCTAGGGCGTCCATCTTAGGCATGTCAGGACGCGCCCAGACATGGAGAAAGTACACGTGCAGAGAGTGACGCATCCTCAAGGTCACCATCGGTACAACTCGTTCGGAAAGCAGGTGCGCTGGCGGAGCTCACCAAACCCAACTTTGCAACATAAGACCAGTGGAGTGGGGCTGAAGGTGTTCAAGAGCGGAACACCGCCATTGGCTGTACATAACGAACGAGTGGACGACCACATTTTGGCCGTTTAGTCACTCTATATATTTATTCAGAAGCTCTGTGTGTTTCATCCTGGCAATACAACCGTTTCCCGAGTTCTCTGTTTTCTTATCGCGTAGTCTGGCAGGCTCAGTGCAGGTGTAACCAATAGGCGGCCACCCACGATACAACATTTACCAGCTATCATTAGAAACACTATCAGATCGAGTAGTGATCACATAGCTGTTTTCGCCAATCTATAAGGTGATTGTAACAGCATTTCACATCTCTGGAGGGCACACCATTTGATTTAGCCGGACCCAAGTCCGAAACCCAGCAATTCGGTCTATGCAAAGGTAGGTTGAAACATCAACAAACTATATTAGCCCCAGTCCATGTCCTATGGTACGGAGGGGAACTGGGGAAAAATGGAGTGTTTTTGTGATAGCCTGTTTAGTGATAAGCTAGTTGATGATGCAGCTATGCAACACAATATATCTTATCGAGTTTTGTCAATAACTCCATCTTTGGTGACTGACTGAAATGACCAAAGTTCCAAGTTGATCTGATAAAAATTTGGGGAGATCGTTAGCTCACTCAGAAATGTGATCTTTTTAGCTACCAATGAAAATAGTATATATGGAACGCCTACTTTTGGAAGTCGCTCTCTCCTCTTCCCCATAAACGGACATTCATCACTTCACGTAGTCTCGTGTCAAGCGTCAAATCTTCACCAAGACAAATTGCCTCAGCTAGCGTGACAATGCATGCAT